CAACCACAGCCTCCCAGACACTGTTCAGAGAGGTGTACTGTTTTCCCTCCTTGTAAATCTCACATTTGATGATGGACCATAGGTTCTCAATGGGGTTCAGATCAGGTGAACAAGGAGGCCATGTCATTAGATTTTCTTCTTTTATACCCTTTCTTGCCAGCCATGCTGTGGAGTACTTGGACGCGTGTGATGGAGCATTGTCCTGCATGAAAATCATGTTTTTCTTGAAGGATGCAGACTTCTTCCTGTATGTACCACTGCTTGAAGAAGGTGTCTTCCAGGAACTGGCAGTAAGACTGGGAGTTGAGCTTGACTCCATCCTCAACCTGAAAAGGCCCCACAAGGCCCAAACCAGTACTCCACCTCCACCTTGCTGGCGTCTGAGTCGGACTGGAGCTCTCTGCCCTTTACCAATCCAGCCACGGGCCCATCCATCTGGCCCATCAAGACTCACTCTCATTTCATCAGTCCATAAAACCTTAGAAAAATCAGTCTTGAGATATTTCTTGGCCCAGTCTTGACGCTTCAGCTTGTGTGTCTTGTTCAGTGGTGGTCGTCTTTCAGCCTTTCTTACCTTGGCCATGTCTCTGAGTATTGCACACCTTGTGCTTTTGGGCACTCCAGTGATGTTGCAGCTCTGAAATATGGCTAAACTGGTGGCAAGTGGCATCGTGGCAGCTGCACGCTTGACTTTTCTCAGTTCATGGGCAGTTATTTTGCGCCTTGGTTTTTCCACACGCTTCTTGCGACCCTGTTGACTATTTTGAATGAAACGCTTGATTGTTCGATGATCACGCTTCAGAAGCTTTGCAATTTTAAGAGTGCTGCATCCCTCTGCAAGATATCTCACTATTTTTGACTTTTCTGAGCCTGTCAAGTCCTTCTTTGACCCATTTTGCCAAAGGAAAGGAAGTTGCCTAATAATTATGCACACCTGATATAGGGTGTTGATGTCATTAGACCACACCCCTTCTCATTACAGAGATGCACATCACCTAATATGCTTAATTGGTAGTAGGCTTTCGAGCCTATACAGCTTGGAGCAAGACAACATGCATAAAGAGGATGATGTGGTCAAAATACTAATTTGCCTAATAATTCTGTACTCCCTGTACAAGTGTATATAATGTATATACTTGTCTCTGGACTTAGTAATCCATCCCCCATCCATGCTGGGAGACTTTATTGCTTTGTTTACATAAAGTATTCCTAAGCTCAGCCGGGTCTGGCTAGTTACAGAAAGCAAGGAAATTTTGTGTCTGTCTTTGTTAGCCTGAATCCAAAATGGAAAACAGAAAAAAGTGGAAGCTTAATATATGGTAGATTGATAAGGCAGTGAAGGGGTTAACCCTAATTGGAGTGATGCAAAAAGAAAGGAGAGAATACTGCCGTGAAAGTAAATGTATAAAATTAAAAAATAACTTTTAATAATATCATGATTAAAAAATAGGGTGTGATTAAAAAACGAATTTAATTATTTTAAAAAAAACCTCAATATGCCAAAAAGGAATATAGAGAGATACAAAGTAGACAGACAAGTGGTTATAATGTCTTAGTTGTTGCAAATTAATCACTCACTAGGTTTATGCCTCTGTGCAACAAAGTATCAATATTACTATATAGGCTCAGATATTAGTTTAGTAACATGCCTATAAACGAAGGTATTACTTAAATAGATAAATGTGCTAAACCTTAATCTGTCTAAACACTCCTTTTCATTCTAAGAGGAGTGAAACAACAAGTCTGTCTAATATATTCTATTCAGTCTAACTATTAGAGGTAGAAAAGAACGAAAGTATGTATATATGTCACTGCAGAAATTTTGTTTGTCCGTTGTAATTATCAAGGAGCCAAACAAAAATAGTTAAATTCCCGATACGTATCTATAAGACATATTGCAAAGGTCTAACTGTGCCTTCATGGGCACCTACCTCTAGTGAAGAAGCTAAACTAGCTAGTAGTGATGTCGCAAACCGTTCGCGAACTTGCCGCGAACCGTTCGTGGCGAACCGTGGCGAACCGTTCGTGACATCACTACTAGCTAGCTGTCCAAAACCCTAATAAAAAGGAGTGAAAGAAAAAAGGGGAGAGAAATGTAAATCTAGGCACCTAGATAAGCGTATAGCTGTGCGCAAATATTTGAACTTGCAAGCAAAAATCACTTCTTGCTATTTTCAGAAGTGTAGAGTAATCAGTCTATCTGGTATACCTAATCAGACTGATTGCTGGAGGTAGGAGAAATGAAAAAGTATCGATATATATATATAGATATCGCAACTCAGAATACTCTTAGTCCAATATAATAGTTCGAAAACTGAAATGAATTAGTTAAATTGAGGAGTTACAATATATATCTACAGAGACAAAAAAAGTCTAACTGTGCCTTCATGGGCACCTACCTCTAATGGAAAAGCTAAGCTAGCTAGCTGCCAAGAACTTAGCCCTGATAAGTGTGTGGATGCCTAAATATGTAAGGCACACATGGAGAATAAGAATACCCCAGCCCAGAGAAACTAGATTCGGAGAATTACTGAGTAGTGCTGATTAGATCCCACCCGAGAGTATGATAACCAATAATTAAAGATCCAGGCTAAGGTAATTCGAAAATAAGAAAGATCTCCCAAAACCCTGATGTGCGTTTCGCCGGTATGGCGGCTATTCAAGGGGAGCTGAGTGACTATCGGCATAGATTTAAATAAGGCGCTCTGTTATGTGATTGGTAGTTGAGGATGACATGAATTGTAGCTGACTATGTACGGTGGTCGGCAAAGGGACATAACACCTCTTACGTTAAAATAGAGCTCTCAGTTGGTGTTTGCTACAATTGTACTGTTGTCATCTTATATGTAGCAAAGTAGAGAAAATTAAACATTATTAATGTGATTGATCTACTGTGTTTAAAAAATGTCAAATACAGAATCAATTGTAATATTATACAGTAATTAATGGTTACATTAACAAATATGTTAATACTAACTCGTAATGAACAAATTAAAGACAGAATAATTAACTCTCCTTTCAATAGAGCGCTTTGATATAATATAATGTAAGATGTTGCTACCAATTGAATATATATCATGTTATTATTAAAAGTTATTTTTTAATTTTATACATTTACTTTCATGGCAGTATTCTCTCCTTTCTTTGAATCCAAAATCTGTTCTGAGTGACTCTGGCAATATACTTTTAATTTCTATCTTAGCACAAAATGTCTGCCAATATAAATATTCTGACACTGTCAAGGAGTTGGCAGATGCTTTAGTCCAGGTCTGGGAGGAGATCCCTCAGGAGACCATCCGCCACCTCATCAGGAGCATGCACAGGCGTTGTAGGGAGGTCATACAGGCACGTGGAGGCCACACACACTACTGAGCCTCATTTTGACTTGTTTTAAGGACATTACACCAAAGTTGGTTCAGCCTGTAGTGTGTTTTTCCACTTTAATATTGAGTGTGACTCCAAATCCAGACCTCCATGGTTTGAAAAATTTGATTTCCATTTTTTAATTTTTGTGTGATTTTGTTGTCAGCACATCCAACTATGCAAAGAACAAAGTATTTCAGAAGAATATTTAATTCATTCAGATCTAGGAAGTGTTATTGTGTTCCCTTTATTTTTTTGAGCAGTGTTTGTGTGTATATATGAACTACCATTTATCATTACTCATCAAGTTCTATTTATAAAAGGTATATAGGATATATTTTGTGGATGCAACTATGCTTTTTCCTATTGTATAGTGAATGAATTAACAGTGCACCATTCTGTATATTTGGCAAAAGTGGTCCTTTTTTTCAGTTTTCCATCAGTGTACAATAAATAAGTTTTTGCATTTCAACATATCGATTTTATTTTTGATACAATCTATGTGTGATTGAGTGCAGTATATAGGGATTTCTCTGTATACTTTGTGGTTCCTGAAGGAATGAAAGTAAAAGAGTTAACCGGGGTCCGCTACAAGAATCATTGTCCAGTCAAAAGCCCACACTTAAGTGAGGGGTACACAAGCTTACAAAATATATTAAAGCTTGTGTCCTATATACAGCTTTACTCCAACATGGCAGGACACTGAGTAGAGAAAAAAGTGCACTATGATATTAAAATTGTGGTAAGACATTCAACATGGATCTTTGTAAGACCCTTATCAGTTGGACACACCTAGCTAGAGAAGAGTAGTGCTGCATCTGCAAGGTATGTCAAAACAAGCCAGACTAGGCAAGAAAGATTTGAAAGTCTGGGTGGAAGCTAGTGGTTGATAACAAGCAAGGCAAATCTCTAGATAAGGACAGATTCCTTGGAATTTCCAGTGCTAAGGACCAGAAGCAACTGAAGGATATTAATAAAGGCGAGAGGGTGGAGGCTGAAGTTGGGTTGTGGACAGGGCTAAAAATAAGTAATGTCAGGTGGGGCACTTGAAACGTGGGAGCTGGCTGATTTTGATCCATTAGCCCAAAATATATCTGGAAACCTGTGATATTACCTGAAAGCCAGGTAAGGCTCTGTACCTACAACAAGGCTGACCACAAACCTAGACAGTTCTATAATACCAGCCAGCAGAATAGAGTGCAAATTTAGCTACCCTCCTCTGAAATCTGAGTATAACTTTATAATTAATTTCAAGACAGGTTCTTGCAGCATGTGCACTCTGCATACTAAGATGCTTGACTTGCAGCCTGACCCATGACAGGAATCAGGAACAGGGTCACAAAAAACAAAACTCTCCATTGATAAAAGTCAGTGTATTTATGGATATGGGACACTAATGTTTTGAGTTATCACATGTGGTTCTACTATACAATAGATTGAATTGAAGAAACTGCCTACAACATTAGCTCACTTAATAAGTCATAGTAGACAAGGTCTTCATTTAGGTTTATTTCAGCAACTGTACACCAGAATGCACCAATGCATATATTTTATTTGACCATGTTGAAGGTGGATTAGATGCACTCATTTAATCACATTCCAGCCTACATTTGGAGACTGTATACATGTGATCCACCTCAGCCACTGTAGTCTTCCTGAGTGACCCTTTTCCATGTTCCCTGGATGGTGGTTTCATAGCCAAAAAAGGTGCAGATCTTGGCAGTGTATGGCACATCCATTTGTGCTTTTGTGACAGAAGCCATCATACGTATAGACTTTCCACCCGGCACCTCTACATCCGTGCTGGCTGAGAAGCTAGTCTGTAGAGAGAAACATGCATTAGAATGGAGGGTTGAATAGCAGGTGCTTAAACGAAAGCTTCCATTCATAAACACTAGTTCTGTTGATTGCTAGAGTGAGAGTCAGAAACAAAGCAAGTGTCACTGGCAATGTTTAACAGGGGTGGGGAACCTTCTGCCTCCAGATGTTGTGGACTACATCTCCCTTGATGCTTTTGCTAACATTATGGGGGATGAAATCCAAAACATCTGGAGGGCTGAAGGTTCCCCACCCCTGATTTAGAGGATCTGCACAGAATGAAAGGGGTATGTGGTAAGAAGTAAAATGTGCCACAAAATGATTCTCAGTGGCCAGTATGCAGACAGATCCAAAACCAAACTATCATGACAGACACATATCTGGGTTTCATTGGTCTTTGAGAAGCTCCAGGTGTGAGTGGTACTTGTGTTGATGGAAATGCTTGTCTCCATGTCACCAATAAAGGGGATTCTAGCAGTAAAAGTGACCTCTGCTCCAGCTTCTACTGTAAAGCCATGCTCCTGGGTAAAGCTGCTAGTCTCAGTTTTGGAGAATCTAAGAAGAATTATGAAGAAAGTTGTGGAAATTTGACATTTGAGAAGAGTTTCCTATTTTAACCCAAGATAATGTCACATTAATCCCTTCTGTAAGGGAGAAAGTCAGACCACCATTCATTCAGTATATACTTACGAGAAGGAGTACTTTAAGGGAACGCTGCTTGTATTCTTGTAGATTTGAGACTGACCACCTCTTGTAGATTTGAGACTGACCACCTATTTTACCTGATCCAGGTAGGAATTCAAAGCTTACAACTCTGGATGGTTTTATCAACAGTGAAGGCTAGAAAGTGGTACAGGTTATAGACCTAGGAGCTCAGCCTTATCCAAGTAGTTTGTATCATCTTTAGTTGGGATTTTCCCTTTATAGATGTTGCCATTGCGTGAATCCACACACCACACTAAGTCATCAAGGCTGATCTCCATGAAATGGGTGAGAATTTGCCAGCCACCATTTCCAATAGTGGTGCTTGACTTCAGCCATTCATTGTTGGTCGTGGATGAGGGCTTCCCACCACAAGCTTGTCACCATCGTTCACTGCATACAGATTGCCTTTTTGGTCAAAGAAAAGTGCATCAAGTTTATTCCAACCAGGAGTTTCCTATCTTGGTTGCTTGACCATAACGCCAGGACACATTTTTCATTGCTTGGTGCTGGACCCTTGTAGAGCTCACCATCTTTTGTAGCTGCATACAGAAGCCCATTTGGGTCAAAGAATAGAAATTTAAATTGAACCCACTCAGCTTTTTCCACCTCCTTGGCAGGAGAGAACAATCAAGGTTTGCAGACAGAGGCATGGGCCCAGTGTAAAGATCTCCGCCACGGACAGCAAAGAGCTGCCCTTCAGGGTTAAACACAATCTTGGTTACATCATTTAGCTTCCCTACAGCAGTAGATCTGTCGTAGTAGCTATCCATACGATCCTTGGGCGGTAGGCCAGCTCTAGCCACATAGTCACTGCTGATGGCAAACAGGATGATATCTGAAATTAGAGGAAACACTGTTTTATATATTTGGAAGAAGAACTGGCTGAGGTTAAGATCTAGTATAGGGCAACAGCAGGAATTCTCACAATAAGGTCAGCAAGTTTCTAGGCATCTTACAGACTACAGATTGTTCCCTTCCACCCTGCACAGGTAACTGAGGGCATTAGTGCCTCCTTTTATTTAGAATGCTAAAGCAGAGAAAACTATTTTCCCTTGTAAACAACTGTAAAAGTTAAAATACCAATTAAGAACTACATACTTCCATGTCCCCATTCACATGCACGCACACAAATACAGACAATATAGCTTTAACATCCTATTAGTGCTGCAGTTTACAGTGAAACACCAATGCATTAAAAAAAGGTTTGAATTGCTAGGTTACATTATAAGCTGAGTGAGGTAGCGTCCATCATTTTAATTTCAGACGTTGCATGACAGCACTATATGATGACATACATGACTGAGCACCCTTCATTCCCAACTTCAGCTCTGAAAATAGGAGAGACATTCAGCAGTGCCAGGCAGGCATCCAAGACAAACAAGATGACCAGGTCACTGAAGCAGGACACAGTTATTTTCCCCCTTAATCAGGCGCATAAACCATAATCTTCTTACAAAATATTAATGATTTTTAGTTTAAAGATTTAGTCTTCTGATCAACTATGATCCGCATCATAGTGATAGAAAATTACTAATGCCCCTTCCATCAGTATGATGTGGATCATAGTTGATCAAAGGACTAAATCTTGAAGATCTTGATAAAATCATTAATGAAACAACAAATTGGAACCAATTATTTCAAATCCATCTCTAACATTATGGGGAGATTTGATACATTTGCACCATCTTTCAGTATGAATAATAAAAAAGAAATACCAAAGGGATGTCAATGACTGCCACTAGAAATCAGAAAAAAACACAAGAGCTAATTACAAACACAAATAAGACAGTTATAACAAACCATACTGATTACAAGAAAAAATAAATATACCACAATACCTACCCAAGTTGGGGTTAGACCACTAGAAGTGGAAAACAAAACCTGAGAATGGACTTAAGTACATAAAAAAAATAAAAATAGGGATTATACTAAAAGGGACACCAATCCTAAAGAAAGTTGGAAAAATATGAACTATAGATCCAATTATCCACTTCAGTGTAGCGAAGTCCTGACATTTAATCGCTTTGAACTGATTAGGAGTTTAGAAAGTGATGAAACTACCCCTTTTTTAGGAAGAAAATGGAGAGAGCCACCCATAACGACCCCCTATCCCCACAAAATGAAGATACAGAGATTTAGAAGGGGAAAATGGAGGAAAACGATTGGAGGGACCAAAGAGTAAAGACAATGAGACGATAACATTTTTTTAATCTAAATACATTTTTAGATCCTGCCCAAATTAGTATTTTAAATATTTTAAATTCGCACCTAGCTGCACTATGGTTAGATTTGAGGCGATTTTTTTATTTTATTTTTTTAAATAAAATAAACTCAATACAAATGACAATACTAATGTCCTTTTTTGCCATACAGAGATCAATCACCCTTTTATCCTATGCACCTTCATTCAAACTGTATGGTTTTTGAAAAGCTTGTGTTAAGGATAACAGATTAAATCCAATAAAAACGAGAATTTTTAGCAATTAACAAATTAAAGATACTCAAACCAGCAGATAAGGGAGGTGGAGTAGCTTTAAGGGAAAAGGACAAATATTGCAGAAATCTATCGACAATTGGAGGATAAGGCTACAAATAAAAAGGTAGAAAATAATCCCCTAACAAAAATCAAAAGGGAAACTGTGCACTATTTAGACAAAGGACTGATTAAGGGTATGCTAACTAAATCTGAATACTTCTTCCTTAATATACAGTCACCAAAAGTTATGGAGATTACCAAAAGCTCCACAAAAGATGCACTGAATCCACCAGGGAGACCTATAGTCTCTGGTGTTGGATCACTTTTATACAATTTATCTAAATAGGTAGATGCACACCTACAACCAATAGTTAAGTTTGTCTTATTTACAAGACTGAGTTAACTCCAAATATTGAAAGATTTTAAATGGCAAAGTGATTTTTTGTCACATGTGATATGACTTGCCTTTATACCTGTATAAAGGATTTTGTTGGTGTGTGAGGCTACTTGTTTATTTCTAGAAACTTCTATACTATATCCTGCTGAACAGGTGGATTTTATCATGGAGGGGATTCTTTTTATCCTCTAGAATAAAACTTAGTTTGAAGGAGATTACTTTTTACAATGTAGAGGGACAGCAATGGGTACCAGGTTTGTGCCCAGTTATGCAAGTTTATGTCTTATTGGGAAAAGAGTTTTATCTATTCCAACCATAACTGCAGCATGAACCTGGTCCTATATAAAAGATACATTGATGACATTTGGAAGGGTGATGAACCCTCTGCTTTAGATTTAAGTTTTCTTAATTCAAATCAATGGGATATCCATTTAACCCATGAAATTATCCAATATTTTAGATTTGGAAGTTTTTATTAAAGACAAGATTAGCACATGCACTTTCAAAAAGTGGATGTAAACAGCTACATCAACAAAGAAAGCTGCCACTTCCTATCCTGGCTGGAAAATATCAGGGCAATTTCTCCATCTAAGACGCAACTGTATAGAGTTGAACTCATTTAAAGATCAGACCAATTTTCTGAAAAAACAATTCTTAGATTGTGGTTATCATGATTAGATGAGGAAATTAAATCAATTCAAGATTTGGATAGAGAATCCCTACTTGTATATACATCCAGACAACTTAGACAAGATAAAGATGAATACCTTTAATTTTCAATTATAGTAAAGATCAGAAACTAAAAATAATTCTTATAAATTGGCTCATTTTACAACAGGATCCAGAGATCCTCCATTTATTAATGATAAACCAAAGCTAATATTTAGAGGAGCTAAAAATCTTAAAACAGATACTCACCTCTAGTTATATAAATAAGCCAATTAATACTCATTGTTTGGATTCATACAAATATACCAGTAGAGGATTCCATTATTGTGGCAACTGTATGGGGATGTAGAATTTTTGAAAACAAACCCCAAAAAAGTAGAGAGTTTTAAGCTTAGGGTGGAATCCACACCTTTTAAAATAGATTTCTTCACCACATGTCACTCTAAAAACATGGTATACTTGCTCACGTGTCCTTGTGGATTACAATATGTGGGTAGAACTTCTAGAAGTTTGAAAACAAGGATACATGAGCATATCTATAATATAAGGAGATATAGATCTATATATTCTCTCTTTTTTGGATATAGTTCTTATGATCCTTTGTGTATTTATAATGCAATAGTGAGTACAATAATTATTGAGACTGCGATGATTATTAGTAATATGATTACACACCTTTGTTGGGGACAGCCTCCTCATCTGTTTATAATTTTCTTCAGATAGATTATGATCTAATAGCTCTTTAAGAGTCAATATTGATGGATATCTGTACTTAAGGTACACCTTTCCAGGTATGATTTATTTTTTTCGTTCCTTTTTTCAAATGGCCACTATACACCCTTATGACAGTTAATGTCCGCTACTCTTGAGCTTTTACACTAGATTTTGTTCTAGAGGATATTATCAATATACCCATTGATTGCTGCATCCTGCTTGTGCAATATGAAATTTGTATCATGTAGAATACTGATGTTTCTGCCATGTATTTTTCGATATGTCTAAAGAAAGTAGACTAATATTGTATATTCTATATTTTATTGGGAATTATGAAGTATGCTGGTTTTGTTTCACTGGGTTTATGGAGTATGTATTATTCATCCTGCACTGTATTTGCTGTTTTTTTTCCACTTATCACTGCATCACTTTATCAACACTATACATAGTTGTATGAATTCCACTTGCTATTCTAATACTATACAGATAGATTATATAGTCACATATCTGATGGGTACATCGGAATTAGACACTTTCGTACTAACGATTTGTTTTCACTGGTATCCTAGTTACGATAATCACGTTTGAATCATGGCACATCACGTGACCGCGGGTTCACTTCCGGGTACGCACGGAGGGATTGAGGGAAGTAGTTCATGATTGGTGAGTACACTATGAGATTTATTATCTGTATGTATCTTGATACATTGATCTTGAGGAAGACCCTGTAGGGTAGAAACGTCGATCGGATGATGTAACTTTGTTTTAATAAATACCTATGGAGTTATTGTAAAGTCCTGAGAGTGCATCTCTTATTCCTTTTCTATAATATAAGGAGGGTTTTTTGAAACAATGTTTCCCTACTTTTTTTAAAACACCCAATTTTTTTGGTATCCAGTTGATTATTAGACACTGGAGAGGTGGCCATCTGGAGTTGACTTTTAACTGCTGAGAGATGAGGTGTGTTAAGACACCCCCAGTGTCTCTAAGCAAAACTGCCATTTAGTCGACCTTCCCCATCTGTAATATCAATAAGCTCCGTTCGCATAGCCTATAGTGCATGAACCAAATGCAGGGGAAGCAGCAATCTCCCGACCGGGATCCGTGAACGGCTCCAAACTCCCGAAGGGCAATACACGAACTGCTGCTAGCCGCTGAATAATAACATCCACCAAGCGGCTTTCGTTTCCATCCAGCAGTCTCTAAACGTGAAGAAGAAATCCCCCCCCAAAAACGAGACAGAAGCTCTGCATTGAGGGTCAAACAGGATCTGGCTTTACTGTGGGCTACCTGCCCGTATTTATGCAGGTCTCCCACTTGGTGGACACTCCCCTAGGGGACCAAATGGGAGACTCAAATGACAGACAGATATGGGGACATTCCAGACACAGTCACAGTTTTTACCCACAATGCACTATGATTCCCTCCCCTCTGCCCTGGAGATAATTACCAAGTCAGTCAATTATCTCCAGGACAAAGCCAGTAGCCATTTTAAATATAAAATCATAAAAGACATAAAAATACATAACTTTAAAATAACCGAACATTTCCCATTCGTATCACATATCCCCAGATAGCCTGAATCTGAGTGCATATTATTAGCGAATAGCGCTCAGATCCCACACACGTAGTTCAATCGCCATGGAGTCAAAGTTCTTACAGTCCTTCGGTATACGAATGACTCCATGGGAAGGCTCTGGGTTAAGTCATTTCGTATGCTTCAAACCTCCCGAACGACCGGTATTCGTATGCTTTCGTGGAGGCAGCCAGGCATTCCGTTGTTTCAGCGGTGTTCGGCAGAAAAAGTGTCCGTTTTTAGTTCCATAGAAATAGAGCCAAACACCGCTGGGCTTTTGCGTGGTTTAAAATGGCCGCTGCCTCGTGGTTGACATACCGACGACCGCCCTGAATTCGGTTTAATTGAGAAGTGTCTGCGGTTAACCACAGCGTTCTAATTGGGCTCAATAGGTTAACCAGCAGCACACTTCTCTCCTGGGTGGCCGTCCGTTCGGTAGGTTTGTTCGGGAAAAACAGTCATTCGTATGGCTGGGCTATAGAAACAGCCATTTACACGAAAAGGGGCAGAAATAGACGAATCCACCAGCAATAAACAGACAGATGTTCTGTCACAAGGTGGATCTTTAATCTGGATACCCTGTCTCCCTGCAGACTCAACGGCGACTTTGAGATGGCTACACTCATTTAAAATTATTTTGAGTTTTAAAGTCAGATAATTTCCTTAATGAATATAACATCTTTTTGGACAGAGACTAAACCTTTATAATTTTGTCTTTGCATTATGGTATGATATATACTCCTTGTATTATAGAATACATCTGCACCTTAATGTGTTATTAAATGTACATACCAAATGTATTTGTGAATGACCATTAGGTATTAATTATGTTTTTATTTAATTTGTGTCCAGTATGTTTAGAAATTAACTTTTCATACTTATGATGTACAACGCCAGCTATGATCATGGCAGTTTTGGACTCCTGACCCTCACATGATCGGAGAGGTCGGGTCCCTCCTCCATAGAGTGCGCCAGGATGTTATGTTTATATGTCACAATCCAGAAGTACTGCAAAATGCTGCGTGGCAGGAAAAATTTAAGTCCAAACAGATAAAAAAGGAAGCCCAGAGAAAGGTTCAAGACACCTTGAAAGAGACCTTATCGGTTGAAACACGTTAGTGAGTAACTGGACGATACTATATTTCTCTACAGTTAATTCAAACTGTATGAAGGTTTTTGAAAAGCTCGTGTTAAGGATAACAGATTAAATCCAATAAAAACAAGAATTTTTAGCAATTAACAATTTAAAGATACTCAAACCACAGATAAGGGAGGTGGAGTAGCTTTAAAGCTTCACTTTTGATACCAGCCACATTAACTGCTCCATAACGATGCTTTTCACACAGCTAGCCAGACGGAATCTCAAGAGACCAGACCACCTTTAGAATACCATAGAGACAGCAGACATGTTAGGAGCATAGTGAAGCATTCAAGATATACATTAAAGTAAAACCATTACCATTTATCAAGCCCTCCACCTCAATCTCCATACTGAAGTGGGTATTACAGCCTGCACACCTTAGTTCTTTGATTTCCCATGCTTGAGACACTTCTCTAAACAGGACATACCTCCATGACACCACCACACTAACTTCATTGCCAGCATACAAACGGAGTAACATATGAATCCATTGCTGTAATACTTACTGGTTGCTATAAGTAAAGAGCAGAGGGACCTCCTGTGGAAGGTCTTGTCTACTTTCTCAGCAATGAGGAACTGAGAGATGCATGACAGACCTATTTTGAAATAGTTTTTTTCTCCTAATCCAAACTTTAGACAAATGGACAGACAAAATAAAAATAGCATGACCAATTTGCATTAAATATATATTAGTTTGGGATCAAATACCTGGTGTATCCATCACAGATATCAGAAAACAAGCTCCTGGATCTCTAGACTCCCAGCAGGATACTTCTGAAAGTCTCTGGCTTGTACAGATCAGAAAGCTTTTTCAGATATTTCTGTACAAGAACCGCCCACCCAGTCCATCAGTTTTATAGTCTGTGCCCCTCCCTAAACACAGCTGGACGTGGTTTGTTTGAAGACTTTGAGCAATGGTCTGCTGGTTAATCTGGTAGGAGAATGGTTAGCTAATCAATTCACTTGGGTACAAATCCCTTCCAGCTGCATTGATCAACTCAAATGCCTTCCAATTGATGGTCAAATGAATTGATTTGCTCTGAATTGGCTAATTAATCCATTTGCCAATCGATTAATAACTATGTGATTCGTTCAACGCAGCTGAAAAGGATTTGTGCACAAGTCTACTAACATGTCTACATGTTAATGGACTGTACATAAAAAAGTGCTTCCCTGCAGCTTGTGAAATCAAAATGCTCCAGTAGGGAAACCACTAATCAAGGCAATTCCTTTGCAATTCTCCACTTATACATAAAGCTATTTCCCTTCTGCAGCAAATTATTTCTACACGCTACAGAGCAGCACATTTCCTGCATTGCCCTACAGCATGACGAAATCACAAGTGTCAAGTAAAGCAACCCTACTTATGGCGACTGTTGGGTCCAGTATGGCTTGTGCTGTTGTTTGACAAATACATATTGAAGAGTTGGAAAAAGTTATATACCAGACAATAGAACCCTACTTTATAAAGCACATCTTCCAGAAACACTAGAGTATGTGGATTTTTTTTTATCAGAATACTATGTAAACATGTCTAAAAAGTATCTATATGAAGAATAAATAATGGTTCAGGTACTCCAGGATAACAAAAATAGCAGCTTTATTGGAGCAAAAGTAGCAACATTTCGACCCTACCGGGTCTTTATCAAGCTTCCTAAACGTTACTGCTTTTGCTCCAATAAAGCTGCTATTTTTGTTATCCCTGAGTGCCTGAACCATTATTTATTCTGCATATCTTGGAAGGGAGGCCTTGCCAGCCCTGGCTTCAGAGCACCTGGGTTATTTGGTGAGTGCGGTATCCAGTACGTCTCTACCAGAAAAGTATATTTAAACACACCGAACCTCAATCCTAAATGTGCATCTTTTTCATTTTCACTTACACGATGGCATTTATTCTTATTTTTGGTGATGGTTTTCTGGGACTTAGAGTGTATTAGAAGTAAATAGACTTCATACGATCCCTTACCTAAACTATGGTCCTTGCTGAGTCTGGACATTTATAGATTTAGAGACAGTTTTCATTAGTGCTACTTTTTCTGAGAATATAGGATTTTTCTGCTTTTTTTACTGTTGTGTGAACAGGGCTGGTGCAAGGATTTTTGGCTACATAGGCGAATATGCATTTTGCCTCCCCTACCCAAACAGGTGTCTTCAGCTGTGTGTCTCTTAACCCCCCCCCCCCTTTTCTGTTTCTTATGTCCTATTTTAAATGTCTTTAGTGTATCTTTAGTGTATCACATCCCACTTTTGTGTCTTATACCCCCCTTTAGTGAATTTTATCAATTTTTCCCCCCATTTGTGTGTCTTACAACCCATTGTGTGTCTCCTATCCGCCCTCTTTGTATGTCTCTTACATCCTCCCTCCCCCTTGCATGTCTTGTGCCACCCAGACCCTTTGTGTCTTTTACTTTTCCCAGCTCCTTTGTATGTGTCTCTTTCACCCCCCCCAGGCCCCTCTGTGCTTCTTTCTCCCCTACCAGCCCTTTTGTGCGTCTCTTCCCCAATATGTCAGTGAAATATGTCTTTGTGTCTATTCCATTCTCTCCCACCCCCACCCCCTGTTTATTTGTGGTCTCTTCCACTCTCCACAACCCGTAATGACCTCTCCTCCCCCCTCCGTCCCTTAGTAGTCTCCTTCACCCCGTCCCTTCATGGTCTCCCAGGTCCATTAGTGGTCTCCTCTCTCTTGTCCCTTGTCCCTTAGAGCTCTTTCATCCTGTCCCTTAGTGCTCTCCCTCCTGTCCCTTAGTGCTATCCCATTCTGTCCCTTAGTGGTCTCCCCTACTGTCCTTAGAGCTCTCCTCTCCTGTCCCTTAGTGCTCTCCCTTCCCCTCCTGTCCCTTAGTGCTCTCCCTTCCCCTCCTGTCCCTTAGTGCTCTCCCTTCCCCTCCTGTCCCTTAGTGCTCTCCCTTCCCCTCCTGTCCCTTTGTGCTTTCCCCTCCCTTAGTGCAACCCCTGTCTCTTAGTGCCTTTCCCTCCCTTTCAATTTGAAATAATTATAATTTGTAACAATTATTAAGCAAAAGAAACCTTCTAGGGAGAGAGTGTCAAGTTACTCTAATAGTAAGGTGGGGTGGGGGAACACCCAGATTGAATACACTATAAACAAAAAAGTTAAGGTAAGGGAAGGATGTATTTATTTATGGGAAAAAGTAGGTTGCTAGAACAGTGAACTGTTAGTTTATTGGATGACACCGTTGTGGAAGAGGAAGCAGTGTGTTTTAAATTGTGTCCCATATTTTACGGGAAGCCAGAATAAGGACTGACAGAGGGGAAAGGCATGGAAGTTGCAGGCAGACAGGGAGATGAGTCTTGCAGCGGCATGAAAAAAAATCCCATTCCTTCTTTCAGATGAAGCATCCCGCAGCTTCAAAAATAACCCAGGGATTTCTTATACCACATTATCACTGACAGTCTAACAACTTGCGGACAATCACTCTGCATATTATTTAACAAATTACCTCCAAACTTTCATTCAAGGACAAGGTACTGTCTTTCAGCCAACATTTTTTTTAAAACCTTCTAGCATAACATTCCTCACTTAACATACACTTTTTTTAATAATCACTTACAAATTGTGTCAGATTCTCAGAGGATTTCCATATAACTTGTATATATATTTCCGCTTAGTGCACCACCGTCCCTTAGTGCTCTTCCCTCCCCACCTCCCTGTGGAGCGTGGCCAAGTGGAGCTTCTGATTCCAGTGAGCACTTCCTGTCAGACCGGGTACAGGAATCAGAAGCTTACAAAAAGTAAGACAGCTACGCGCTTACCTGTTTGAATTCCGAAATCCTGAAACGAGCCCACTAGTACTCTAGTAACAAAACATTAAGGCAGGTCCTTTGGGATCCCTCTTGTATTAATTAGTATTAATTCTGGAGGATGTTAATGCTATATAATACAGAGCAGCATTTTTCATGCAAACCCGACCGAATACTGAAATACTATGTGTTCTGGAATACATGGCCTGTCTGGAAACCTTAGATAAAGTGTAGATTAGAGGGTATAACCTATAGAACAAAAGGACATGCATGCTTGCCTCCAGGGTAATAGAGAATTAAATTACTTTAAATAAGGCACTCTTACCATATGTAATCTGTGAGCTGCCATCCGCTGGACTTGCAGTCCAAATCTTCACTAAACATATGTCAAAGATCATTCCATGCCATATGAGCAGTCACAGGAGAACAAGTGAAAAAAGCTTTAGTCAGCCATCCCCAGCAGACTACAGCCAGAGAGAATGGCCAGAACAGAATATCTTATCTGTTTTGGACTTCACTGGTCTTTCAATATATATATATAGTTCCTAAATATGTATAGGCTAGAGACTTTATTGGAGTTTCTGAGTATGTTGACATCACGAGCTAGTCTTTATCTTTCATAGACATTATTGAGGAATAAAAAGCTTTGGACTGTATACAGTATCCATTATCTTGCAATAGTTTACACAGAGTCTAAAATTTTAGTATAAAAAAAATAAAAATTTCTTGCATACAGTAGGTAACAAAAATAGATAAATAAAAATGGTCAAATACTTTGCTTCCACGTACTTGTAATGATTTTCAGCACATTAAATTTAAGTGAATACAATTGGTCCATTGCAGGGAAAGTGTTCCTCTACACTCTGGTTATGAATCCTGGAGTATAGAAAGCTAAGTGAGACAGGGATTAATCAACATGTAAATAAGTTAACTTTTGTGAAATTTTTTTGTAGGTTCAGATCAAATAACTTTAGCTCTAATCAGTGTGAGATACGTATGCGTGTGCCTCATTATTGTATATCTGTTAAAATCATAAAAATAAAATAGAGGTGTTAGGGTATTTTGTGTTGGGTCCTTGGGCAGAACCTCCTGGACGTCTGCAGAAGTTCTGTGACCTCCCTCATGGTTCTTCCAGGTTCTACAGTGGTGTGAACGCCGGTGGCAGTGACTTTGCCCCCTTTTATCACACAAGGCGTGCTTGCCAACATTTCCACACGTTTAGGGTGTGTGGCTAGTTAATTAAAGAGCCACACTATGAATAGCTGGCTGGGGCTTGGATCTATACCTTGTTGTTGTCTATTTTGGCTTCCAATAGTGCATTTTATACTATATTGTCTATCTGGTTTTGAACACAGCTTCTATTAACTATTCTCGTTTTGCTCCTTGCTATTCCTTGCTACTCCTGATCTCTGGTTTCCCTGACTTTGGCTTTTCCTGACAATTCTCTGTTTGCTTTATGTTAAGCCCTCCAACTACAAGGTCTGATAACTGATTACTTATATTTATCTCAGGTTACACTGTGCGTGTTGCGTCTCCCTAATCCTGACAAGAAGGACTTACATTCCTAATAGGCTGAACATTCCTCGGTAAAGCAGGAGTGGAATATGTGAAAACTGAATTGACAGGACAGGCCAGATTGAATAACTGCAAGGTATACCAGAAATGGTCACATCAGACCAGTTTAAGGACTATGTTAATCCAAATGTCAAAGTTCATTGATTTTATTTGCACTAATAGGTTTAGCACTTGATAGAACACATGCAGGGTTTTTACTAAAGTGAAAATTCTAAGTGAATTTAATCTAATCAACTATGCATTCAGTTTGACTACTCCAGCCTTAAATTTGAAACTCACTTTGAATTCTCACTTTGGTAATTAAACCCGACATACTGCCCATGTCGACTCTGCTTTCAACCCCACAATGTTATTTCAGAAAAAATCATGCAGGCTGCCAGATGGACATAAGTCGTTCCAGAAAAAATAGGTCCTCCTTTACCAGACAAGCAAAGTTCTCCTCAAAAAATGCCAAAACCCCAGACAGTGGCAGTGCCACTTTGAATAAGTGGAATAGGACAGCGAAATTATTCATATTTTGATTGTGCCAACATACACAACACCCTCTGTTCCTGTGCGTCCAACTCGCCTTGTTGCAAATAATTGTCTGTTAGGTTACCCATTGTACAACGATGTGGGATTTGTTGGTGCTTTATAAATGATAATATGCGTAAGTACTTTTTTTTTGGCTCTCAATGGACATCTTATTATAATAATCTTAATACAGTGACATAGAGTGATCCTTGTGGGAAGTGAACTGTACAGGAATAAAAAAAATTAAAGTGTTACTTGAAGCACCATGACCACTTTAGTGACTTAAAGTGATCATTGTGCCTGTAGTCTGTATGTGCAGCATTTCAGTTTAAAACACTGCACACTCTGAGATTGACCCTTTCGCTGTAACTCCACCTCGGGCAGTGTCATTCGGGCATCATTAACCAGCCCAGAACAAGTGTTCCGGGCTAACTTATGTCAAATCTGTGCAAAGTTTCATGCCAATGAAAGGCAACTGAATGACTTCCGTCTTCTGCAGCTCTACCGAAGCCAGAAGAGCTTCAACAGCACAGAAAAGGGGCTTTGGAGCCTTGTGGGGAGCCAGGTAAGAGTTACTGTGTCTGAGCCTGATTAAAGCTCTTATTTTATATAATGAAACATATTATCTGTAATTAGTTCATGGCATTTAGATGAAAGTGGGTAATTTTGTTTTATTTTTTCATAATAGACTCCTTTTTTGTTATGTCAGTGTTTAGTGTTACATGTATATGTACAGCTATTTAAAAAAAAAAACTAATTCAAATATGAATAGCTCATTATTTAGCTATAATTAAGGTAAAGAACATACTTATGTGTTTAATACAGATGAAACATAGAAACATAGAATGTGACAGCAGATAGGAACCATTCGGCCCATCTAGTCTGCCCAGTTTTTGAAATACTTTCATTAGTCCCTGGCCTTATCTTATAGTTAGGATAGCCTTATGCCTATCCCACGCATGCTTAAACTCCTTTACTGTGTTAACCTCTACCACTTCAGCTGGAAGGCTATTCCATGCATCCACTACCCTCTCAGTAAAGTAATATTTCCTGATATGACTCTTTCAATTTCTCCCATTGGATGGTTGTATTGATCACAGAGACCTAGAAATCATATGTATAAAATAGACTTACCATATATACTCGGGTATAAGACGACCCGAATATAAGTCGAGGCCCCTAATTTTACCACAAAAAACTGGGAAAACTACTGGTAAATTTCTAAATAAAATTAGATCCCAATAAAATTACATTAATTGAATATGTATTTACAGTGTGTGTGTGTGTGTGTTTGTGTGTAGCGTTTGTATATAATGAATGCAGTGTGTGTGTGTGTGTTTGTGTGTAGTGTGTGTATATAATGAATGCAGAATGTGTGTGTGAATGCAGTGTGTGTGTGTATATAATGAATGCAGTGTGTGTTTGTATGAATGCAGTGTGTGTATATAATGCAGAGTGTGTGTTTGTATGAGTGTGTGTGTGTGTATAATGCAGAGTGTGTGTTTGTATGAGTGTGTGTGTGTATATAATGCAGTGTGTGTGTATATAATGCAGACATAGGCGTGCGCAGCCTTTTGCATTAGGGTGTGCACCCTAAAGCACAAGCACATGCTGCGTATATATATGTATGTATGTATATATATATATATATATATATATATACACACACACATATATACACACACACACATACACTGCTGTGTGTGTGTGTGCTGTGTGAGGGTGCTGGTAGTGTGCTATGTGGGTGAGGGAGTTTGTGTGTGTGTGTGCTTGTGAGGGTGCTGTTTGTGTGTGAGGGTACTGGTAGTGTGGTGTGTGTGTGTTTGTTAGGGTCCAGTTAGTGTGCTGTGTGAGGGTCCTGTGTGTGTGAGGGTGCTGTTTGTGTGCTGTGTGTGTGAGAGGGTGCTGTTAGTGTGCTGTGTGGGTGCTGTGTGTTTGTGAGGGTACTGTTAGTGTGCTGTGTGTATGAGGTTGCTGTGTGTGTGGGTGCTGTATGTGTGTGGGTGCTGTGTGGGTGGGTGCTGTGTGTGCTGTTTGTGTGCTGTATGTGTGGGTGCTGTATGTGTGTGAGTGCTGTGTGTGTGCGGGTGCTGTTTGTTTGCTCTATGTGTGTGGGTGCTGTATGTGTGTGGGTGCTGTGTGTGTGCTGTGTGTGTGTACTGTATGTATGTGTGCTGTTTGTGTGTGTGTGCGGTTTGTGTGATGTATGTGTGTGTGTGTGTGTGTGTGTGTGTGTGTGCTGTTTGTGGGCTGTATGTTTGGGTGGTTTGTGGGGGTGGAGGTGGGGGCAGATTAGTTCATAAATATCCCCCCTCCCTTCTTACCTTATGTAGGGAGGGGGGATCCTTCCTTGCTGCCTTCCCTGGTGGTCCATTGGAGGTGGGAGCAGATCAGTTAATATCCCCCCTCCCTTCTTTCCTTATGTATGGAGGGGGGACCCTTCCTTGCTGCCTTCCCTGGTGGTCCAGTGGAGGTGGGAGCAGATCAGTTAATATCCCCCCTCCCTTCTTACCTTATGCCTGGAAGGGGGGATCCTTGTTCCTGCTGCCATCCTTCCCTGGTGATCCAGTGGAGAGTGAACTCTAGCCTGCGGGGCTAGAGTTCACTCTCGCGAGATCTGAGCATTGCTGCGGCAACGCTCACATCTCGCGAGTGGAACCCGGTGGAGCTGCTGGCAAGAGCTCCCCGGGTCCTCTCCTGCCTCCCTCACTGCCTGTGGGCCGACAGAGGGATCCTGAGATCTCCCCTGCCGGTCTCAATCCATAGGCATGCCGGGGGGATTAGAGTGTGCCCAGGCATACGCTGCACACCCCGTGCGCACGCCTATGAATGCAGAGTGTGTGTATATAATGCAGAGTGTGTGTGTGTTTATGTAGTGTGTGTAAACTGGGTGGGGGGAGGGCATTTTCCTTATTTTAATATATATATATATATATATATATATATATATATATATATATATATATATATATATATATATATATAATATTATTTTAATATTTATTATTATTATTTTAATATTATTTTATTATTTTTTTGTTTCATTTTATTTTTTGCCTGACCAGGGAAGGGGGCTATATGAATCCCTGGTAGTCCAGTGGCATTGGTTGTTCAGTAGGGGGGCTTGCAGCAAGCTGTTACTTACCTTTACAGCAGCTCCCTTCACCTCCGTGCAGCTCCTCCGTTCAGCTCACAGTGTAAGTCTCGCAGTCTGTGTGCCGCGCAGAGCGGCTCTGACAGCTGTGGGTTTCGTGAGACTTACACTGTGAGCTGAACGGAGGTGAAGGAAGCTGACAGGGGCTGCTGTAAAGGTAAGTAACAGCTCGCTGCCAGCCCCCAACAGGACCACCAGGCTTGTAATGAGCCCGGCGGTCCTGGTCTGTATTATGGCAATATAAGTTGCTATAATACAGACAGTGACTCGAGTATAAGACGAGTGGTGCTTTTTCAGCACAAAAAATGTGCCTAAAAACCCGTCTTATACTCGAGTATATACGGTACCGGTTATATTGCTGTACCTTTCTGATAGTTACATGGTACCTTATATTAGTGTGATATAAATGCCACACTCACTGTTCAATCAACAGAATATTAGACAAAAACCAATTCAGCCGGTTAATTTTTTTAAAGATAATTTATTTTGCATACAGTACAGTTATACATAGTGTGTATGTCCAATCCGATGTGATATTTTTCCTTCTTTAAACGGTGTGTATTGGTATGACTTGTCTTCTAAATGCCTTATCTAGGAAAATACGGAATCCTGCTCACATGCTGGGTCCATTGTACAACTCTCTACAAAAACAGGAATGAAACACGTTTATTGATGAGTATTTTAGTGATACTTTCATAGGACAGTCTTAGTATACAACTAACAGAGCAGTTAATAATAAACAGTGCTCAAATCTATTGACGATGATTGGGTGGTCATGTATTGCGAAATTCTGCACATCTCTGCAACTTTTTTTTTTCTTATAAGCTCATATTGAGCTTTTTGTTATTATATAGGGATCAATGCAAAAATACTTGTTTTTTAAAAAGTTGGGATTCTTACTCCGAAGGTCTGGTACATATTATGAATGCTCACTAGAGACCAGAGAATTTAATTGTGTGGACCTAATTAGTGGCCAATGAAAAAAACATTTGAAGAATGAAAAGAAACATCTCTGAGAAGTATCTGCAAAATTCACAGCCATCCAAAGAAAACATATTCTTATCAAAATCAAATTTCAGAGAAGTGCATCCTACATACTGTAGACATTGCTTACGGTTATATCCTCCAGGCCAAAGACTTCCTGAATATGATGGGAGTTTTATCTGAATGGTAGATGAAGGAAGTCAAACCTTGGTAGCACTTTGGACACTGACACGTTTTGCAATGTTCATTAGCCACTAGAGAAGCTTCCTTGGCACAGACCGAGTAAAACTAGGTCACATGACATGGAAGCCCCATAGGAAAGCATTAACTCAATGCCTACCTATGGGGAATTTTGAATGCCTATGTGGCACTCACCATGTGGCACAGGACCCCTATGCTCTATGACGGCGACATGGGAGGAGGGGCCAGCAGTACCAAGGGAGACGTAATTTATTTATTTTTAAGTTGTCTCGGAGATGGGTACCTATATAGAAGCTAGGGACAGAGACACTATAGCATTATGAACACAAATTTGTATTCCTTTAAGCTAAGTCCTGTTTTCATATACAACCCAGACTCAATATAAACATCATGAAGTACCAAGAAATCAATCCACAAACTGGACTATGATTACACTGTGACGGTACATAGAGTTTAAGATGTGAGCATTTGTTTTTTGTTTTTCATAAACCTCATTGTTACAGAACTACATACACAGGTGATATTAAAATAAAAATATAAAATGCACAGTCCTGCATCTCTCTTGTCTATAGCTTAACTCCTTTGACCATGCGGAGGTAAGAGAGGAGCAGGGGTACAGAGGTCTGCAGCATGGCACCCCTGGGGCTAGGAGAAAGAGTATAGAGGTCTGTTATTGGTTGCTGTGTAGTGAATTAACTGAGGTACAATGTTTAAACTGATGGATGGATCACTAGGATTCTTCGTGCCTCCCCGACCCCCACCAAGCAGCCCTAGGTAAGTCTTAGTCAGGCACACAACACTAGTTTACTCTCTGAACTTTCAACTGTGGGAAAACAAAAACAGCTTTGCAATATTTTGCCCACATGTGCAATCATTCTCTCTTTCTGTGTTTTCTCTTTATTCTATTTCATATTTTGTTTAATTATAATTCGCAATTCTGGTCACCACCTTTCATAATTTTGTAAATAAACCTTGTGGACTTGCATTAGGACATCCTTTTAAACACAATCAGGGTTATTCACTAAAGTGATCATTTAAGTTGAATTCAAAGCAAATTTTAAATTTAAGAATTTAGAATTTAGTGTCTTTAAGTCAGCTATACTTTTAGGTCAGCTACTCTGGGCTTAATTTTGAAAATCGCTTTGAATTCTCACATTAAGAAAGAACACTGAATGTAAGTTTTTGGGCTGTTCAGACTCCATGCAGTTTTGACTACAACCTGTCTTGTTTTTAGAGTACAGATCTGATAGTACACCATAGCCTCCCGCAATATGTAGTAAGTTACTTCATATTCAGACTCATCCACCATAGACCTGTCCTTACCATGGTTACAGCATATACCAGAGGCTGCACAGTTCCCTCCATTATTACCACATGGCTTTCTGCCAGACTCGCATGGAGAGGGTAGGTAGTTTTCTTCTTGACATCTTAAAGTCTCTGAAGTTCCAAAGTAACAACCCAACTCTTCTCCACAGCAGATGTTGGGCCCAAAGCAATGACCTTTATTTCTTGGTCCACAAGGGATACACTATGTAATATGGATTAAAAAAAAATGTTACTGCAAACAAAAGCAGATTGGAATCAAAAGGCAAAGACAGACGAAGAATAGATGGCTGGTAGGAGTAGGGGTATCTTGACTCGATAGACACGAACAAGGTGGCCTGAATGGACTGGGGTACATAAGATGGACACGCGGGTATGACATGAATGTCTTCTAAAAGTTCATTGCACATTGTAAAAATGTAAGCACGTCAGATCTACAAGTATTAAGAAGATCAGATACCAGTTTACAGCAAGTCAAGTCTGTAAAGTCAAGGAGGCTTCGGAAGGAGATGATTATACATTAAAGTGGCTGTCAATAAGTATGTGCTCAAATCAAAAAATATAGCCTAACACTCCTCCCTTCGAGAAAGCAGTACTTTACTAAAGGGCCTCAAAGGTACCGCAGAAACATAAATTGTATTCGGTTTTTCCCAATCCAATATATTGCTGTACTGAATGTATTATTAAATGTACTATTAAAAGGGACACTATAGGCACCAGTCACTCAGACAGCCACTAGAAGGACAGAAGATATATAAAATTAAATTATATGTACTTATATCCAAAAATGTTATGTGTCAATTATTTTCTGTCACTACAAATATTTAAATACACTTTTTTGCAAAGAACTAATTAGGAAAGTTTTCTAACAGTATTGAATCTTTTTGAAAGCTTATTAAACAGAGGCATTTAACAACAAACATTAACACACACTCATCAAGTGTTTCCTCCCCTAACAAATTATGACAGACATAACTGGTGGTTATTATTTCTCATAAGGTGAACAGTCAATATATGCACTTTTTTTTTTATTTTGCATGCTTTTATACATATGTTTATATTTAGATTAATTATCATTTTTTATTTACTCCTTTATTAAGATGAGAAAGTATTCAGCCGATGGGTCCTATCTTACAATATATATTTGCTTTTGTAAAGTATTATATAATATAAATATATTTACCAATGTAATACTTTTTATGTAGTAAGGTTTTACTAAATGTCCTGTGTTTACTGTATCCAATGAGTGAATGTATTTTCTTTCTGAAATTCTTGCCCTTTACGTTCTTTGCTATCTTAAGTGTTCTGGTTGCAAAATGCGGCTACAAGCCATATGGAGAAAGCTCTAAAGGACAGTTACTCAAGGGAATAGCTTCCCCATACACTGTCAGAACAGGGGAACTTTTTTGTGAAGTATAAAAAACAAAAATGCAAAGTTAGGGTTTTACTCCCCTTTCTTCAATGCTTGGTGAAACAAAATCCATTGGGAACATCTACACTGCATTAGATCATCTGGACAATAATATACCAACTCAGCTGCAGTTGTAGCATAGCTAATTTAGCTGAAATTTTGCAATTCAGATTTGAATTCTGCATTTAACCCCCTGCGTGCCATATTAATGCCTTGTGCACACTGTAGAACTCAAAGGGTTATTGCATAAGCCCCTTAATGTCAAAAGAACTGGGCTGGAGAATTTTTTATTTTTTTAAATTTGGTGTTTTACATCTAAATTATTCAATTTCGAAATTTCCAACAATAATTACAATAATTCATTTTATAAAGCAATGTTTACACGCTGTTGTTGCATTTTAAGAGCTGGATAATTTGTCAAATGCTCCCTGATGTTTTTATTTAATTCTTCAGTTTTTTAGATACAGTACATCAGTGCAAAATCTGTTTCAGACAGTGAGAACCTAAGGCTGTGTTTTAGAACGTTGCTTATAGGTTTGTATAAAGCACAGAGAATCTTAAACTATAAAAGGTCAAAATTTTCATTGCAAAACAGGTGCTATTGCTTAGAGATATTGTGTTGGTTTCCATAGTGATTGCTCCTTATTTAGCACTTTGCTCCAGATTAGCATCTGTTTTGCATTGATAAATATGGCCTTTAACATCATACATGTAACCATTTGAATGCTGCAGGAATACACAGTTTGTTGCAATGCAATGTGTTAAATACTACCAAAGGACTCAAACAGTTAAGGAGGTCTACCTGAGATACACTAGGGAAAATAATTTGTGCATTACATTTTTAACCCTTTTTTGTAAGTGAAATGGCAATGATTAGTAGTTTTCTTCTTCTTTTGCACCAAAATGTTTATTTTAACTCTTTGAAAAGAGATACATTTCCAAAGTTTATATAACCCACATTTTAAATTGGTAAAGGATTTATGCAATTAAACACACGCCTAACATATTATCACATTTTAAGAATAAATAATCTCCTGCATTTCTCATTTTGGACAACCCCGCAGTCTATGTGATTCTGTCCCTTTACTCAGATAAACCCAAATGATTAGACTAGACATGAGATGTTAGACTTACCTTCCTGATATCCATTATATCCATCACAGATCTCTTGCCTCCGATGGGACAGTTTTGGATGTAGCATGCAGAAGAGAGAGCCAAAAGGCAGAAGAAACATGCAGCCAATGTTCTGTAGGACATGGTCACAGGGCTGTAGAATTGTGTCGATCAAGAGGATGGAATATTTCTTAATGTTATGCTTTCACCTGGGATTTGTAGCAGTATATATACCCCCAGGGCTCATCATTTATCAACCACCCCCATTCTTCAATAACATCACTTATTTCCTAGTGAGAAAAATATATTTCTTCTGACACCAAATTCCTGACTAATTAACCCAAGGTTGAAGATGTGAGGTCACCAATGAACAAATCATTTTGCGGAAAGATTTCAAAAGCGTGTAAAGAAATAATGTGTTGGAAAAGTAAGGAATCTGTTTAATTGTGTGATTCTTCAAGGTCAGCAGAGGGCTGGTTTGTTATTATGAATGGTCATAACCTTCTTATTTCCCCAACATAAAACAGTTTCACTTACTGCTGATATACAGATGGAATTTAATAAAGCTACTTTATTTGGAAATGAAATATTCATGTTCCTAAATATCGTATTGCATGTATCCCAGCACATGGTTCCTTAATCTCTTCTTCTACATTAGTCATTCATATCTTAGAACTCACTGATCAGAAACTAACTTACCCATTAATTATTCTATAAAATTAGGTGGCTGTCAATCAATATTATGTTGCACAGTGAACCCTTCGAAGAAGATCAACGGTATATACCATTGTATAGCAGAGTAAAGTGTGGTGCATGTGAGTTTAACATTTTATATCAAATTTGATACTAAAGTATAGAACATATTGTCTAGTATGAGTCTGGTACAGGTCCGCTATGCTGAACATGTGGTTTAAGAAGTTAGCAGTAAAGTATACTGATGTCATCATCGTTGGAAGACAGACCCTAGGACATAGTCAACAGTCCAGTCCTGGTCTGAAACAGGCCATCTGTCAAGGACATAAGAACATGGGACTAGACAATGGTTAGAAGTGGAACATAGGACATGATTACAATGTAATGTAAGACAAGTCACAAGGATCCCTAAAAGTTTAAACTGGAAGTATCCTATTGAAAGAAGACAACGTGGAAACTAAGAAACAGGATACAGGGAAATACATGGACGGAACTGATCCAACACTTAGAAAGAAAGGAAACACAAACTATAAGATAGCAATAACAAATTAAACACAGAACCGACACAAAAGGATATGGAAGCTCATTGCTTTAATGAAAGGATGTTTATGCCAAAACCAGAACCCACCAAGAATATAAAACTTTGACATGAGTTGATGCGCTTAAGAAACACAGACAGACTGAAGTGTGAACTTTCAAGAATTCATAGTTGATATTTGAAAACATAGTAGACTTGGATAATGTTTTCAATTATTCAATTTGACTTCAAATTGAAAATTCTGTTCAAATAATGAACAATGACCACCTTAATGAATAAATTCCATGGGTATTCATACAGCTTCTGAAGACTTCTTTTAGGATGTGTACTGAAAAGGGGAGATTTGCTAAATTGTGATTAGTTATATTGTCACTGATTGACCGGATATTGGCAAAATGTCAATGTATAAAACAAAATTATAACCTATAACTATAGTATAAATGTGAGAATCATTTTATTGCTCAATTGTCACCTACTTTATCACCTTAGGTAATGAGTATCTGCATAAATATTGGAACAGCTATTTTAACAGCAAGTAAAAAGGCCTACTTGTTGGTGACTGAAATGCCTAATTTATTGATTATCTTCATGTTGTGTTGTTTTCATAAACTTTTAATCCTTTATGCCTTAGAACTGGGTTGTCATCATCTTAATCAATCATGTTGAAGTGGATCAATGATAGATGTTTTAATCAATGGTTTCTATAGCATATTATTAGCCACTTGAGTATAATTAATCAACAGCACTCCAATTTAAAACATAGAAATCGACAGCCAACCTTTTCAAAGCTATATCAATAAATAGTATTCAAATCTAAGTCTTGCTATCTATGTCTCTGTTTGTCTGTCTGCTCAAAGCCTGTATCTATCATTCCAACATTGAGTCCCACCTAGTATCAAACATATATTAAATTAAACAAGGTTTCTTTCGTTTTCAAAAAAAAAAAAAAAGCCTACGTAAAACTAATTGATATTGACAAATGTTTATTTAGAAAAAGGAAATATAAAAAATAAACTGCTGACTTTTGATAATGAATGCCAAACGACAATGCCTGCACAGGTCGAAGGCACGTTGACCCATTGTTCTTACACATTAACTTGTATGAGTAAGCATAACCTTGAGTTTTTACTATTATTATTATTACGGTGGATTGAATATTCAGTGACATCTGTTACAAAACTAAGGTACAGAAAAAAAAATACAGTTTTGTTCAATAACTACCACTATTCTGTCAATTTATAAAATAAAGAAATCCCTTCAGTCATCAGCTGTCACTGTTAAAGTAACATTCTGAGAATTGAAGAGGAAAACATTAAAAGAACTGTATCGTGTAGATCAAGGATCCCACCCCAAGTTGCAATTATTGGCCACTGGAAACAGTTCTGCACTGTCCTCCTAAGGCCCTGCGAATCTAGTAGGCCTCAACATCATAACTGTGCCTCATACCTTGCCGACCTTACTAATTTGATTGCTTTTCCTTTTACCAATTCCAAGACACCGCAACTTTCTTCTCAGGCACAAAGCAGTTCATATGCAGATTAAACATTTCAACAACTTTCCTCTCTTGTGGAGAGAAAAGAAGACTTTGAAAACACAAGTAGAAGAAATCATTTATGTATTGTCAGAATACCCAAGTCCATTAAATGGTCTGATATTTCTAGTTGGCATCCTTGTGGCTGACCCAATCCCTTGCCCTTCCAGAAGCATTACTCCCAAAGCTTGCCAAACTGTGCATTATTTGATTCCACAGCCTAATAACAATCTCATAGATTTGCCATTTCAGAAGATATTATCTTTTTAAAGTTTGCTCAGTAAATTACTCCAAAACACAACAGATTCCCTTAGCAGCACCCAGTAAAATTGAGCATTTCCCACTAGGAGCACATACCCTTCTTTGAGGATTCAGTGGTGGCTGAAGCTTTTGTGCGATGCTCGCTATTCCACTCAATTCTCCTTCCTCTTGTAAAGCTAGCTCCTGCAGTTCCACTCCTTAGGCTTTCACAACATGGAGGGACTACTCAGAAGAAAATAACTGTTATCAACCCTTTGTCTTCGGTGTTGAAAAGTGTTAGCACAATTTTAGAGAGATATGTTTTTGTTTTGTTTTGAATATGTTTATTGTTTCCATAACATAAATTCCATTGCAAACATTTTTGTGGTTAAGCGGTTGATCGCCTACGCAGAGGCGCTGTTATCAGTACATGAATAGTTCAAGATAACCATGCCATGACAAATTTAAGAGTACATAAGTTTTGCAAAGTTAGGTATATCAGTTTCGTTAAACCGGTTTGGTAATGCTGTGTGTTAGCGTTGTTATCAGGCGTATTTGGCGGTGGTGGTGTCGAAGGGTGGTGTATGGTTTACCAATATGCGTTTGTGAGAATTGATTTGTTAACAGAAGTGGGTGAATGTGCTTATGTTGTTGTCTTGTGTTGGCTGGTTCATATAGTAGTTTGTATTAGCGGGTTTGTGTAATTGCATTGTGTTAGCTGGCGTGTGCTAGTGTTTTGTGTTAGCTGGTTTCTGCAAGTGTTATGTGTTAAATTGTTGTTACTATTATGTTTGCATTAGTTAGGCAAATATACATCTAATTCAAACTTGTGCTTCATCATCGCCTGATGAGAGGCTCTGCCCGTGTAACAAAGGTGGCGGGCAATACGTCCATGCAGATGCTGACTTTTTGTATTGCTCTACCATGAAATGGTATTCAGTGTGCTGTCTTCACAGTAGCTCGATTATTTTTAAAACGTTGGCCTATTTCGGTGTGTTGCTGTAGTCGTCTCTTATATAGTCATGTGCGAGTCGGTATGTGGTGTTTGGTAGGTCTGCGGTGTCGTGTGTGTGTTTCCCCGGGGTCCTTAGGGATAGGTTTTTTTTTTTTCCTCCACCCCTCTTCTCCCCACCCATTCCCCCCCGTTTTGGGTCTTATATGATTAATCCCTTTTGGGGGCCCCTGTTGGGTGTGATGTGGCTGTCTTAGATATTGTCATTAGGTTCGTAATTGGCCGGGTGTGTCAGGGCGGTCCAGGCGGTCAGTGCTCCGTGGGCCCTGGTGATGCATTCGTTGGGTTTGGTTAGTTATGGGTCTGCTAGTGTCTTTTTTCATGGCGTTTCAGGTCTTAGCCCTGTCCGTCATTGTCCATTGCATGACTAGCCTGTTGCATGGCCCTTTATATGGGTTCCAGTAGTGGGTGTTGTGTGGTTCTCGGTTCTCGTTCACGTGTGTGTATTCTCTGCTTCCCCATGTCTTGGTGCCCCTGGGGGAATGTCGCCCGTTATGGCGTCAGGTGTTCCTGTGTGAGTATGGCCCTCTTGTTTAGGGGTTATGTGCCCCTGGTGTGTTCCCTGTGTTCTTGTGGTTGGGTGGGTTGTCTAGGTTGGGTCTTGTCATTGGTTGGTGGTTGGATCTTGTGTGGTGGTGTGGGTGGTCGTGGGTCTCTGGGTTATGAGTAACGGTGTTAATGGCTCGTCGAGCGTCTGTGAGTGGTGTGTTTTCTCCTAGCTCTATGCTTGCGTCCCGCTGGAATGCGACTAGGGTAAAGCCTTGGTGGGTCTGTGTTTTAGTAGGTTATCGTGGTCTCTGTCCTATGTCCAGTGTGTTCATTGAGGTGTGAGGAGGGAAGTCTCGTGAGTCAGAGGGTTCGCACTCCCCGTCGCCGCTCCAGGTCCGCCGCCCTCCGGGGCCCCTTCCCGAGTTCCCCCGGGTCCTTCTGCGTCTCTCGTCTCGCTCTTGCTTATGGTTCGGAGATGTGCTGTAGGAAGTCATCTGTATTAATGTTTCGGAGCCAGTGGAACCAGCGTTTTGTGTAGTTGTCTCTTTGTTTTGGGGTGGTTGCTTTCATATCTTCGTATTTTCTCACGTCCTCCACTTCCTCTATCCAACGTCTCATGGGCGGTGTACATGTCTGCTTCC